ATGCCCATGAACAGAACGGCAGAGCCGAGAAAGCTGGCAAAGACATTGCAGCTGGAGCCCGCACAACACTTATTCAGCTACAACTACCTCAAGAACTATGGCCTCTCTTCATGGAGACTAGTGTATATATTCACAATCTCCTACCAGCACGGCGGTACAACTGGCAAAGCCCAATCCAACGGATGTTCAAGATCATCAACTTGCCGTATGAACCAAGTCTGCGGCATATCCACACATGGGGTTGTAAAGCATATGTCACAATACCCAAGGAAATTCAAGTCAAGAGCCAGAAAATGGCCAACAAAGCAAAAATTGGCAACCTTGTTGGCATGGAAGGTCTGCATGGCCACGTATACAAAATATGGCTTCCGGATGAACAACGAGTCATCCGAGCCCGTGATGTGCGCTTCCATGAGGGACCCAACAATAAAACCCGTACTGATCCGACGATTGAATACGAAGCTAAACTCGTCGAGCCAGACCCTGAAGGTTCTGGAAAGATCACTTACACAGAAGTGCGGGATGAGCTAGGCACAGACCTAGGCGGAAAACAAACAGAGGAACCTCGTGCGGATCCGTCTGGCACAATAACACCAGAAACACATTCAACGGACCGGAGTTCCTTGTCCCCAGATATTAGGCTGGGAACACCTCTCGAATCGCCACACAGTATGCTGTCAGATATTGATGTGGTCGAACAACTGGATGACAGCGGTGCTAGCCAAAGGCAGCATGAGCAGCTTCATCAAGACACAGGGTCAAGAAGACAGGCACCTGCAGACGTGGATAAGAACCCACGATCAGAAACACCGCGGAACATCTTGCAAGAACAAACACCACCCTATACGCCGGCCCAACAATATAGGAGAAATGAAACACAAATTCGGAACCAGCTTGCCCTAGAAGAACAGGAGGATCTGCAGCAGGAACAACCCATCCCACCTGCACGGGCAATGCATGGCACATTTTCCGAAGAACAGGATGTTGAAGATGCAGCATCGGAACAGCCGATGGGCCAGGGGTCAGTGTCTGATCAACACAACCATCCCAGCCAGACTTCACATCGTAGCCTGCGTGATCAACCACGACGGGACTACTCAGACAATGGCGCTGCTATAGCTGCAGAAAGAGCAGCTAAGTACGTCAATCTTATATATCGAGAAGAAGATATCAGGCAGGGACAGGCAAAACGCCCACTGATACCGATGTGGTCGGTCATAAAGATCAGGGAACATCTCAACCAACCACGGGTACCAAAGAACTGGTTTGATGCGCGTGTGCGAAATGACTTTAAGTCGAAGTGGCTGCCAGCAATGGAAAGACAGTTCCGGAGCCTCGTTGAGATGGACGTCTGGATCCTTGTTGAACTGCCACCGGGCAAGGTTGCTCTTGATGGCCGATGGGTGTATGATGAGAAATACCCAAAGGATGCTGATCCCTACGCACGAGCCAGATGGGTCGTACGCGGTGATCAAATGAAAGACTCCTACGCCTTAGAAGATCTCTATGCGGCAGTAGCACACATGACATCAGTGCGACTCTTCTGTACAGTCGTTGCTCTGCTGGATTTGGAATGGGGCCAATATGATGCAGTGACTGCCTTTCTAAATGCAGAGGCACGACAAGAAGTGTACATGAAACAACCACAAGGTTTTGATGATGGATCCGGACGAGTGTGTCTACTGAAACGAGCACTCTATGGACTTCCAACATCACCACTGTGGTGGTTTGACACAGCCCGCGCATATTTGAAAGAGCTAGGATTTGCGCCACTTGCATCAGAACTCTGTCTCTTCCGACGAGACGATGGAGTCCACATCCTTCTATATGTTGATGATATGATCATTGCGGCACCCACCAAACAGATGGTCAAGGACACAGCTGAGTCGATTGCCTTGCGATTCAAAATCAAGGAAATCGGCGAGGTGACAGAGTTCCTAGGTCTTGAAATCAAGAGAGACCGACCACAGCGCCGCATTTGGATCAGCCAAGAGAAATTCATCGACAAGATCGTAGAGAAATTCTTCCCTGACCAACAACTCAACAAGGCACAGAGCCCCTGGCCTTCGAAGACCGAGATCCCGGTAAACTGGAAAGAACTGGACGTAGCGATGCCATCCACAGACTGGCTTGAACGTACTGGCAGTCTGAACTTTCTATCCATGGGGACAAGGCCTGATATCACATATACCGTACAACGGCTATGTGAAGCTAATCAAGGCCCAACTGAGATCCACATCCAAATACTCAAACACCTCTTCAGATATATATCAACAACAAAATCGTACGGGATTTGCCTCGGCGGCAATTACCGTATCACGGATCTCAAGCTCCGTGTTTATGCGGATGCATCCTTTGCAGTGCTGTAAACGATCCTGGATCGTTAAGCCCTAACGATTTCGATCTCGATATCGAGATCGTTAGTTATCGATCTCAGATTTATCGATATCGAGATCGTTAAGGATTGAGAATCCTCACGTAAGCATGAAGTTGACCATTGCCCACGTAAGATTAGAGGCCTCGGTTATGCAAGCCCCAAGTAAATTAGTATAAGATCTGCACCTCAAGGTTCAAAAGCTCGCTTGTCTTGTGAGTCAACGCACACTTCTCCTTTAATCTGCCAACATCGTTAACTTCCTCTCCGAATGATGTCTTACAACACTGATCACGCCGCTAACCTCGCCTACGATGACTTTGAGATCGAGAGCGCCCTCTCACCCTTTGATAGCGACCAGATATCAAATTTACGACCTTCTGACTCAGCTTCGCAAGTATCTCAGGTTGTCTCGAGCACTACTTCTTCCCCCTCTTCGAAGCGTAGGCGTACGCCACGATACCTGAGCAACTACTATTCACTGAGGTAGGTAGCGGTGAGGTTGCAATAGACATGGATTGAGAAATTAGACAGGTTTCTTGAATTTGAGGTTTACTTTTGAAACTGGTATGAGTTTACTAAGCAATCCTTAACGATATCGATCTAATCGATCAATAGGCTTATCGATCAAATCTTAACGATCCTGACCCTCAGATCGATAATTTGGATCGATTACAGCACTGTATCTGACCGGACAGAGATTGACGCACTACAAGCCCAGTCCGTCTTTAGATTTGAGACGTACGACCCCGTCAAACACGGAACCGACAGACTCTTCAAAAGTCGGTTAGTACGTGAGATAAAGGGCAAAGGCACCACAACGCCCTATGAGAAGTCCAGACTTGTCATCCAAGGCCACAGCGACAACGGCAAGCAGACGATACTGACACAATCCCCTACAATCCAACGGTCTAGCCAACGCCTGATTGTAGCTCTAGTACCGTCACTTGCATCACGAGGAATCTTTCTATGGATGAGGGACATCACCCAAGCGTACGTCCAGTCGACAACAAAGCTTAATAGGACTATTCTAGCCCGACCACCCGACCAGATTAGAGACCAATTTCCTGAAGGCACAATCTAGCCAACGCCTGATTGTAGCTCTAGTACCGTCACTTGCATCACGAGGAATCTTTCTATGGATGAGGGACATCACCCAAGCGTACGTCCAGTCGACAACAAAGCTTAATAGGACTATTCTAGCCCGACCACCCGACCAGATTAGAGACCAATTTCCTGAAGGCACAATCATGGTCGTCGTCAAACCGCTATACGGCATAGCTGAAGCTGGAACACACTGGTGGGCAACCTACTTTAACCACCACCGTGAAAACCTTCGGATGACGACTTCAACCTTTGACCCATGCCTACTTGTAACGACAACAAGAGACTGCTTTGGTATTACAGGCATGCAGACCGACGATACCCTTGGACTTGGTGACCAACGTTTCTTTGACCTTGAAGAGGAACAACTACAGAAGGCTAAGTTTACAGCTAAGCCGAAGGAAATTGGTCTCTAATACCGACGATACCCTTGGACTTGGTGACCAACGTTTCTTTGACCTTGAAGAGGAACAACTACAGAAGGCTAAGTTTACAGCTAAGCCGAAGGAAATCCTGACTCCTGACAACCTCCTACTGTTTAACGGCTGCAAACTAACCCAAGACGCCGACGGTTCGATTACGCTTAGCCAGAAAGGTCAAAGTCAGAAGCTAGAGCTAATCGACGCAAGCTTAGAGACGGCCCAGGAGGAATACGTCAAACAACGAGCCCGTGGAGCGTATATCGCGACAATCTGTCAGCCGGAGGCATCCTTTGACCTATCCACAGCAGCCCAACATCAAGATCCAAGTGCTGAAGATATCAGAAAACTGAACAAACGACTCCAGTGGCAAATTGACCATCAAGGCCGGGGATTAAGATATATCCCACTTGACCTACCTACGGCGAAACTATTCGTGTTTGTTGACGGGTCCTTTGCAAACAACAAGGACCTAAGCTCCCAGATAGGGTTCATTATCATCATTGGCAACGAGAGACAACAGGACGCTGAATTCACTCTGACCGGTAACATCGTCACATACAGCTCGACGAAGAGTAAACGTGTGACCCGAAGCGCCCTAGCGTCGGAACTATACAGCATGGTTCAAGGTGCTGATATGGCCTACGCTA